ATCGCTTCATTGGAACTAAATAAAATAGGAAAGCTTTATAATCATTACATACAATTAAGTAATTGCTTGTTTTCTTTATATAACATAATTTCTATGTAGATTTAGGCCCTGGTCACACAAAGGAAACGTTTTCTAGTTCTTCCGGTACTTTCCATACCTTTGCTGTACTGAATCTTGGTCACAGGGTTTATATCCCAGGATGAATCTCCCATGAACTTTTAGCAGTACCATTTTTTCCCCTCCTAATTGAATTGTTATGGCTGGCTACACCAATCTACCAGTTTATCTTCTCTCTTGCTTCAAGGGACTATTTATCCTCTTGATTGATTGACTGACTGACTGACTGATTTATTGATTGACTGATTGATTGAGTTATATATGATGTATTTATCTATACATCAATATATCAGAAACAAGTCTCCTTCTAAGGTGTGTGACTGTGCAAGCGTGCTTGACTCCGCCCCCCTCCACATAGCTTTCCTCCTCCTCCCGTGCACCCACAGCTATCAATTGTAATGGCCTTTTACAATACAAAGTTATTGTTATTTAATCATTGTATTACATACACACACACAATATATATATATACACACACACACTCAGGATGGAAGCATATTTTTACAATGCAAAACATATGTTATAGATATGTAAACATGTTATAGTTATCTAAGAACATTTTAGTAATTAAAAATCCTGTTGAAAAACACACAAATGTATAACCCTGCAGTGCATACTGTAGATGACCTTTTCATTCATGGTATAAATATCCCAAGGCCCAGCTCTTTTAGGTGAAACAAATTACATGCAGTGAACATCTTACACTCTGCACTTTAAGGGGGTACAAAGTTTTGATAAGGCATGACAGCATCAGATGATCCCCTCACCTTGCTTAAAGAGCTGTTGCTCTATTTATTTCTAGAAACTAAGGTAGCTTGCACAAGCAAACTGAAGACTCGCAATAGTCTGATTTTATCATGCTGAAGGTGACTTTTTAAGGTTTAGAACTTAAGGGAATCTCTTTCTAGACAACATCTCTGCATATGATGTTGTGCTGCAGTGCCATAGGTCTTTGAGAGCACACAAGGACTGAAGTAAAAGAGAATGTCACCATGCTCGTCTCTGCACTAATGAAAGCTGTTTAACATGCAGAAAGGATTGACTAGACGAAGTGTTTTAGATTCATCAAATCTTCAGTTTCTCTGTTCACTTTGAACAAAAGAAAATAGATTTATTTTGAAATAACAAGAAGGTAAGGAGAAGGTAAAGTTAAGTTTCTATATATAATAAAAACAGCAAAAATATCCTTCACTCTTACATCTGTTCACCATACATGCACACACACCACACTAAACAGACCACTGCCTAACTAAGAAAAAAATTCCAGCTTCCCCTCAAGAGATTCTTAAACCAACAGACAAAACCAACTGCCTTTTATCTCATCTGCATTCATTCTCACCAACCAATTAACATGTAATGCCATCCACAAGCACTGTAATGATCTTCCCACACAGGTAATCCCAACCTGCATATATCCACGCAAACATCAACATACTGTACCAACATTATACATTGTATTAATGTACAAACTTCACCCATACTGGAACCACTACACACATATCTGAGGAAATCACATTACTGCAAGGAATCACAGGGAATGCACATTTTCCTTAGGATCTAGTTTAACTCTCAGAGAATCCAGTATCATTTATTGTTCACTGGACACACAATGGGGCTCAAAGCTTGATATTATAGGTACTGAGAAATACCTTTATAAACTATCTGAACATATATTCTCTGTGTAAGAATGAAATGGTAGCACTGCAGAGCTGAGAGGGATCTAAGGTTCATTGAGCTTCATTAGGAAACCCATAGATTCATCCCTTATGCTTGGTTACTGTGGCAATCTCCTCTCAAGCCCTATTCCCCCAGGCCTTCATAAGTTTCTCGCTCTTCTTTCTTTGTCACTGCCACCAGGTATTACTGTTTTAACACTATTTAATCATGGAGGCATGTGTGCTTTTAAGACTTGAGTCATTTATTAGATTGGGAAAGTTAATATATGGTTAATATTCGAGAGAAAAATCACAGGCTGCTAATCACTTGTATCTGAATCAATTCTGCTATATCTTTAAAACTCTTTTAACTCTCTCTTCCATTCATCGTTCTTACAGATCTCTAACTCACTCTTAGTTCACTTTTAAGTTTCACACAGTCTCTCTCTACCAGAATCTCCCTCAGATTCCATACATCAGTCTATATATCCAGCCCCCTTGCCCCTTGGCTCCGCCTTCCATCCACTCATTGGCTCCTTCTTCACTGTTCTACTGTGATGGACAGGTGACGGCAGGGATGTTCACTACAGTTACAAGTATCCAACCTATGTTTAAAAACCTCCATCAAAGCAGTGTCCAAAACTTTCTGAGGTAGTCCATTGCATTGTCAAATAGCTCTTGCTGTCAGGAAGGTCTTCCTGATATTTAGACAAAATCTCCTTGCAATTTTTTAATCCACTGCCCTGAGTTCTATCTTCTGGAACTGAAGAAAACAAGCATCCTCCATCTTCCATTCTGAATTCTCCATTAAAATGCTGCTCTGAAGTGAAGTAGGCATATATGAAAACCTGTTTGAACAAACAGCTCTTCTCTTGGGGAACTTGAAATTAGGACATGTGTATACAACTCATGCATGCTTAATAATGTTTTGTTTTGTCAAGCAAGCAGAATATATAATTAGGCAGATTTTGTTGTATTGAGTCAAAGATGTTTGGGGTTAAGTCCCCCTAAAGGGATTTCCTGGAGTGAGGAAGAAAAGCCATCTGCTGACTCCAATGGAAGCATCAGAAAGGAAATATACTGGGGAGGAATGACAATAAGAGCCAAACTAGCATTCTGCAGCTCTCCAGGAACCCAAACGCCTCAACTCCATAAACAGAAAAAAGACACACATCAAAATATAGGAATCCCAAGGGGCAAATCAACAAGGAGGGAATAATAATTTGTGTTTACATTCAAACTTTCAAGAGCTTCCCCCCAGCATGTGAAAAAGCAACGGTTTAAATAAATAAAACTGAAACCAAATCAAACCAAAACAGGGTTACAAACTACAGTATAAACTGGCTTAAAACATTAAGTAACTAATAAACACTCACATTCAACATATCTCAAAATCCTCCTAATTCTTCGAAGTCCTACATATATGCTTTTAATATTCTAGCATGGAACAATAAATACGATTTAGAAGATTAAATACTGTATTAACTCCTCATGCATATAGGTGACATTTAAACCAAGATAACACTTTGTACACAAATTACTGTTATTTATATGACTGTTACTTATATACAGTACTGCTATTTATACACAAGCACAGTCAATTCATACCCAGTCAGCAAGAAGAACTCTCCTACTGGAAGACAGAAGTGGCTTCCATTAAGAAACTAATACATAATCACATTCAACACATCTCAAAATCCTCCTAATTCTTTGAAGTCCTACATATTTCCTTTTTAAATTCTAGCATGGGACAATAAATACTATTTAGAAGATTAAATACTGTATTAACTCCTCATGCATATAGGTGACATTTAAACCAAGATAACACTTTGTACACAAATTACTGTTATTTATATGACTGTTACTTATATACAGTACTGCTATTTATACACAAGCACAGTCAATTCATACCCAGTCAGCAAGAAGAACTCTCCTACTGGAAGACAGAAGTGGCTTCAGGACATATTTCCCAGCATTAGGTTGAAACCTTATTTCTTGAATCACTGGATTGAATGAGTGCATGAAAATACAGAGCCAATCTGATCCTGAGCTATTTACATCTAAAAGGCCTACAAGTTGTTCTAAACAAGAAGCCTAAAATGTATGACTCCTAGAAGTGTTTAGTGTCCTCCCTACTCTGAGTAACAAAACATCTCTTATGTTCTCCTATGAACAGTCTGAACTCTTGTTCAGAACTCTACGAAGGGCTTGCCCACCAACGCCATACCCTTAGATTGCAGATATTTGTTGTTTTGCACTGCCAGTGCCTCTTGCTTGTTACAAGGGATGAAGCAACCTTCGTGACTGGCCTCCTTACTTGCTACTTCCTTTTTTAATTTCTTGCCAATGCAATAACGTCTGCAATCATTTCTACCCATAGTTCCTACTGGTCTACTGAGGCCTACCTTGCTTTGTCCTGTTACCACAGAATTATTCACACCATTTTTATTTGTGCCCGTATAACTACTGAGACATCCACACTGAGTATACATATCAGTATTAGGATTTAACAGTGGCTCAGAATCATGCTTGTCAAGTGGCATGCAGTGGACCCTCTACTTACGGAATTAATCCGTACTGGAATAGTGGTTGCAAGTCGAAAAGTCTGTAGGTCGAATTTCCATTGCATTGAAAACCAATTAATCACATAACTAGCAGTTTTTATTCTATTTTTGTTCCATTTTGGGTTTTTTTTCTGGTCTGTAGGTCGATTCTCCGGCTACAAGTCTAATCTAAATTTTGCAGCCAGAGAAGTCTGTAACTCAAAAAGTCTGTAAGTCGAAGGTATTACAACATACACTTGTGGCAGTCTCTCTATTCACCCCCCCCCAATTCCTTATACAAAACTATCATATGTGGGATATATGTAAAGAAGATTACTCAGTTATAAACAACTTCCCTCAAATGATGCTTGAACAACATACCCTTGTGGCAGTCTCTCTATTCACTCCCTCCCCCCAATTTCTTATACAAAACTATCATATGTGGAATATATGCAAAGAGGATTACTCAGATATAAACAACTTCCCTCAAATGATGCTTGACACTTTGCAACACTCTTTGCATATTGGATATATAAGCAATGGATCACGGAATCACCATAGAAGAAAGGGAACCTGGACTGTTGTTGCCACAGAATCAAACAAGGCTTCAAAAGACGCAGCTGCCTGCCCAAGAACACTTTGGGTCTCCATACATTAAGAAAAAATGAACCATTCCAGAACTCACATCAATCAGGTCTGAGACGTCATGGATGTAGTACTTGCTGACCGCTGCATTTGTGGCTGCGAGATTCAGCAGATAGTCATTCCTAGCTTTAGTACACTTCAGCTTGTTTTCAGAATATTTTGCTTGCCTCTGAAAAATATTAGAACAGTACAGATATCCAAACTATTGTCAATCAGTTGTTCCAATTCCCATATGTTCCACATGTTTAGGCTCTTACAACAGTGCAGAGTCACATGAAAAATAGTACTATTGGATTAGAGCAGAGACCTATGCAGAGCCGCATTCTCTATCCCATAGTTGCCAGATAGATTGCTACATGAAAGGGTTCACAAGCATCCGCTTTATTTATTTTTACGTGTTTAGTCGTTTAGTCGTTTAGTTTATTTTTACAGTATTTAATTATTTATTTAATTTCTATCTCATCTTTCTCCTGGCAGAGGGGCTCAAAGCAGCTCACAAACAATTTAAAAACAAAGCATTAAAACAATGGCAAATAGACAAATCATATTACATTTTTTTAAAAAAAAAGATATAAGGAGAATTCCTCAAAATCCTCAGCAGCTGTTTATATATTAAAAGTCTGCCTGCAAAGGAAAACCATTGCCTGCTGGCATAAGGATGTCAAGGTGGGGGGCGGCCAACCTGGTTTTCCATGGAAGGGAGTTCCATAGATTGGGAAGAGGCACTGAAAAGGCCCTCTCCCATGACTATGGGGGCAGTAGGATTGAGAGAAAGGCCTCTCTTGAAGATCTTAAAGCTCAGGGAGGCTGCTATGCAAATACATGGTTATATTTCTTAACCACTAGTATTTTCCAGTGCTATGCTGCCTCTTCTGATATTGTACACCACTACTAATCCCTGACAACCCTTTCTTCTACTCTACTGTAGTAGAGCAGTACATTTACAAGAAACAGCTTGCACACACAGCCACTAGTGTCTTGTGGAAAGGACTAACGTTGATAACATCATAGTTAGCGCAGGGTACACACTAGTACTTCAGAACTGGCAGATAGCTAGTGGAAGCTAGTCTGTGGTATCAATGTGGCAAAGCAATCAGCTGCTGAATCAAATCTCCAGATAACACTTCACAGCACAGTGGATAAATTAAAAACAGGTATTATGTGTTGAAAATCAGACTTCATGTGTGAAAAACCAGCCAAATAGCAGCTCTGCTGAACAGCTACACGTAAAATTCTTTTTCTGAGGTTGCTGCAAGCCAAGATAGGAATTTTCATCACGCAAATTTGCAGTAAGTGGCAGGTTTAAGAAATACAATCTCAGCGTGAAGACACCAAGGAAGGACAGAAAGACTTTAATTCCTCATCTGAATGGGGAAAATAACCAGGCAAAGCAAGCTGTTAAAGAATTAGTTTCAATATGTGATCCCAATTGTCTCTCTTTAAATCGAAACGTCTTGATTTGTCTCCTGAGCTGGCAGAGTCCTAGAAGTGACAAGGTCAGAAAGCAAGTGGAGCCCGTCATTTTTAAATATCCCACCAAATATGAGAAAACGTAGAATATCCAAGAACATTCGTCGTCGTTTAGTCGTGTCCGACTCTTTGTGACCCCATGGACCAGAGCACGCCAGGCCCTCCTGTCTTCCACTCCCTCCCGGAGGACTGTCAATTTCATGTTGGTTGCTTCACAAACACTGTCCAGCCATCTCATCCTCTGTCATCCTCTTCTCCTCTTGCCGTCACACTTTCCTAACATCAAGGTCTTTTCCAAGGAGTCTTCTCTTCTCATAAGATGGCCAGAGTACTGGAGCCTCAGCTTCAGAATCTGTCCTTCCAGTGAGCACTCAGGGTTGATTTCCTTCAGAATGGATAAGTTTGTTCTCCTTGCAGTCCAGGGGACTCTCAAGAGCCTCCTCCAGCACCACAATTCAAAGGCATCAATTCTTCGGCGGTCTGCTTTCTTTATGGTCCAGCTCTCACTTCCATACATCACTACAGGAAAAACCATAGCTTTGACTATTTGGACTTTTGTTGGCAAGGTGATGTCTCTGCTTTTTAAGATGCTGTCAAGGTTTGTCATCGCTTTCCTCCCCAGAAGCAGGCGTCTTTTAATTTTGTGGCTGCTGTCTCCATCTGCAGTGATCATGGAGCCCAAGAAAGTAAAATCTGTCACTGCCTCCATATCTTCCCCTTCTATTTGCCAGGAGGTGATGGGACCAGTGGCCAAGAACATTAATCTTTCACAAATGATCTGTATGGGAATAAGTCACTTTTTAACTGCACATGCTCAGTCCTGTTTTTATCATTTTCTTTAGTCTGTACAAATTTGTTGTGATTTTCTACTACCATACTCTGCTTTAGGACTATTTTACAATAATTTTAAAAAAAATAGGAGAAAGATTACAAAGGAAATAGAATTTCTAGGCGCCGTCTGTTTAATCCCACATGCAGCTCTTCACTGGAGATATAAATATGGAGATTCCTATCTGTTATGGACCACATGAGGGGAGGGATCCTGTGAACACATTAGGCAATGTTCCATGAGCACTGAGCATAGCCAATTACCTGGCACAAGCAGTGGACATTGTTCATCATTCTTCAAACTGCCCATAGGTTCAGATGATCAGTTGTTGTTCTTTGCTATATATGTTGTTTTTCAATTTGCTGCTGGACTCCCTCTCTCAGCAATCAGCAAGGTCTCTTGGATGCCAAGCCATTAAAACTGTCTGTTGGATCTAAGAGAGCTATTCTCAGTCAGGTATTGTAGGACCATTTCGTTTGCTGGCCTTTTTTGAACTTCTCAAACATTGTTTTGTTCTGCTGTGCTTTGTTTGTTTTCTGAGCCATCACTCTCTGGAGACCTTCCTTCCCTCCAAGCTGCCCTTTTCAACTCTCCTTGTGTTGGGCCATTTAATGGCTATGCACATTAGGTCCCAATGATGTAATGCGCCCCCCTCTGTAGAAGTGCTCCAGAATGTGCCCCCAGGCTCCACTTCTTGCTGAAAGGTGCCTGTCTGCTTGACTCAAGCAGCCATGCTACCTGCTGTCTTTCTGGCATATCTCCACAGCTAACAAGCAGTAAATAGAGAGGCTTTTTATATAGCCATCCCAGGCAGCGCTTCACTGAAATTGTGCACAGGCATTAAAGCAAGCAGGCGGCATTCCCTGGCAGTTCAAATTCGTTTGAGGAAATACTGAATACCGTTTAGACAATGTTCACTTCTGTACTTTTTGCATTTCTGCTCCTTCAGGCCCTGGAATCCAACAGCTACAAGAGTTCATTTGGAGGTTAAACTATATCTCTTGTAACTTGAACAAGAAAAAAAAAGATATGTCAAACAGACTATAATATTAAGATGACAACTACTGTTTCTTTTCTACTACCATCTGTTAGATGACCACTAAGATAATCACTAGTGTTTGTACCGTCTGCATTTCAATTCCCTGCATTCCCTCTGCACTCAAGTATGGATAGAGGGAGGTGCCAACTGAGGATATTCAAGGTATCCAAAGAAGTGTAATATTATCAGCTAAACTGTAGACATACAGTGGTGCCTCACAAGACGAATTTAATTCATTCCACGGTTAATGTTGTCTTGCGAAACATTTGTCTTGTGAAATGCGTTTTCCCATAGGAATGCATTGAAATCTAATTAATGCGTTCCTATGCGCAAAAAAGTCAGAAAAAAGTCAAATTTGGTTTACAAAGTGTTTATTAAGTGATCTTTAAAGCCATACATATTGTGCAGATGATTTAAAAAATTTCAATCAAAAAACTTTAACTTTTTAAACATCATAGAAAAACATTTAAAAATCAGCAAACATGAGGCAGGAACAAAAAAAAGGAAAACATTTGTCTTGCAAAGCATGGCCATAGGAACATTTGTCTTGCAAGTCATCAACCCTCCCCCCATTACCAAAACCATTTGTCTTGGGATTTTTTTGACCTGCGAGGCATTTGTCTTGCGAGGCACCACTGTATTCCTTGTTAAAATCCTGCTAGGCTCTTCATGTCAAGTGTTATGTGCCATCAAGTTGGAATTGACTTATAGTGACCCTAAAAGCACTTTCAAAGTAAGTGAGATATTTAATGAATTTCTACAGCCAGGCGGGGATTCGGACATAGGTCTCCTGCGCCCCCATCTGTCACTATACCATATGAAACATCTCACTAACATCATACAACTGGACAAATATTATCAGGTATGAACTCTGAGCTTAGGAAGTTCCTCCCCTCCACCTTCCCCATCACACACACAGAACAGGCATTGCCCTACGAATCTGTCAGGGGCAGATTCTGCTTATGCTCACCTTTTCCTTCATCTTTTCAATCTTCTTGACAGAACTACGGCGCTGAGGCCTATCTTCATGTCGGAGCAAGTTCACACTGATGTCCCCTCCTTTGTTAAACTGTTTCTCTTCTTGCTTTTCAGCTTCCTTCAGCTTACTTTCAGCACTGATGCTCTCAGCATGATACATGTGGTATGTTTTCATCACCTGTAGGCAAGACTCACTCAGTGAGTCAGCTTGTAAAATACTACAACAGCTATAGCAATTACTGTACACCAAAACAATAAACCAGTTCAATGGCTGCAAATGAATAACAGTTTCCCAACTAAACATTAACACCTCATTTTTAACCAGAAGGGTTATTTTGACTATTCTTTTCACCCACAAGAACACTGTGAGACTCATCACTACAATTTGTATTTCACAAAAGGAGAATTAAGGTTAAGATACTGCCTTGCATTCCACATAACCAGGATCACCTCATATGTACAGTATATATCTTTTAGAGAGTCCACAGCAGAGTACCACAGCAGTGATATCTAGTCTTGGTGGAATCAACAGTTTTGTTTTCTATGTTTTATTTTTGTTTTGTTTGTATTTTGGTCTGGATAGGCAGAATGCAACTCTCAGGATTCCTGACCAGTGGCAATGTTGGCTAGGGTTTGGGGCAGCTGGAGTCCAAAAACATCCACGAACCAACACTGGGAACTACTGGTCTAGACATAAGCTTTAAGAACGAAAGTTTATTAATTTATTGATTGAACTTTAAAGAAAGTTTACTAATTTATCATTAGTAAATTATAAATATGTATTTACTAATATGTATCGCTTAATGTATCACAGCACCATAAACGGTCTCTGATCCTTCCTGATTGTACAAACAACAACAAACAACAACAAAAAAACAGGCCCTCCTAAAGTAGCAAAGCTGTTATTTGCTTCTGCCTAGCTTTTGAAATGCAGTTTATGACAGAGTTTTGAACCTTTCTATTCCATATCTTAACCACAAGTTTGGGGCACCAAAAAATCAGATGAGGAATTTGTGTAGGAATAGCAGTACATGGAAAGACTCCTTCTGTAGCTGAGTCCAGATTCCTTCGGAGTAGAGATCTCAGGGGAGACGAATATGAAGCCTGCCATTACAGCTGGCCGGACTGATTAAAACCTCTCCCTTCCTCCAACCGGGGCTCCACTTGCAACTTACAGCACAGGTGTGCGCTGCTATTGGTCTTCTCCGCACCAATTGCAGGAGAAGCATGACTGGGGCTTCCCCGTCCCCCTGTGCTGCTGGCCAATCCAGCAAGGAGGCGGGATTGGTCAGCCACGCTGGGAAGCAGGAAAGCCCCAACCAGGCTACTTCTGCAATTGGCATGAAGAGAAGAATGGCGGCAGTGTGTACCATGCTGTAAGCCAGACCTGGGCAAAGTGCGGCCCTCCAGATGTACCTGAACTGCAAATCCCATCATTCCTCACTGTGTGTGGGCTAGGCCAAAATCTCCTCACTATTTGCTGTGTGGGCTAGGAATTATGGGAGCTGCAGTTCAGCAACATCTGGAGGGCTGCATTTTGCCCACCCCTGCTGTAAGCTGTAAGTGGACGCCCAAAGGGGGGAGGATTTAATCTGGCCAGCCAGCTGTGATAGTGGGCTTCCTATTTGTATTACAGCTGCATTGTAATCCTAGGACAAAACTAGATGTGACATTAAATTAATAAATGGGTTTAATGCACTTTTTAAAATGGAATTAGCAGCTGCCTGGGAACCTGAGAAGCAGTGGGACCACATGGGATGATGGAGAAGTTAATTGAAGAATATTGTCTCTGCAAAGCTACAAGGAGAAAACATCATCCTTAGGAGGTTAAAAAGAAACATTACACAGTTGTAGAGAACCAGTTTTCCTTGTAATGGCAAATGCCACATGTTCTATTTATAAACTCAGTGGTCAGAATCCTATTGATTATTTATGTTAGCATAAGTGTAATGGTGTCAATCACAATGGCAAATTGTTGGCAATTTATGAACCACTTTTTGTATCATTTGCCACGCATCAGTTATGTGACTTTGTGTGCAATAAGGAATATAAGTGGCAATTCCTTAACTGCAGTTATTGAAACAATTTACACCATTCCACCTACACTGGTATAAATTACTAGTACTCTAGGCAATGTGTTGTGTTATGAGAGCACAAAAAAACGTAATGTGAACCCACCACTAATCTCTCAAGGCACATTTAGAACCCGCATCTGATCATAACACCCAGAAAGTCTGCAAGATGAATCAAGCCAAACAACTGACAGAAGCTGGGAAGCTTATGTGCCCCTCTTTTTCAAGTCTGTTGGTTTCTTTATTTATAATGAAACAGCAATATTTTCTGAGATGCTCCACCATTCTGTACTCTTTCTTACATATTAGAAAAATGAGTGGCTGCTCCAACGATATCTAAACACCTCTACCAAAAAGGCCTTGATTCTGTTCCCAATAAAGATACATACAAACTGCAGGAGGAAAAATAACCTGTGAGGGTACATTCCAAAGCCTCCTTTAAGTGACATGCCTTTTAGGAAAACTTGCGATTCTGAACCAAACAAACAGCTTAACATCAGTGCTTTTTAATAAGGAAGAACCCATTTAGATTTGAAAGTCCCTGCAAAGTTATTCTGGTTAGGTATGACAGGATAAAACAAAGAAAGATGCTATCTATTAATTGGTGAACAATTTTAAAAATTAGTATGTACAGAATGTGGTAGTCCAAAAAAATCAGAATGTCTACAGTGGCCACAGGGACAAGAAAAAGACTCTGTTGCAAACATGGATGCAGCTGTGTCCCTACATCTGCTCTGGCAGTACTTTGCAAGTCTCACCAATGTCACCCATAAAGCTGGGGAGGGGGATTTACAGGTTCATCTACTAATGGGATACATGCCATCCTCTACCATCAGTGTCCTTCTGACAGTACAAATGGCAGACAGGAAAATATCTATGCAAGGGAATACATGGGTACACACATGGCATCCAATATGCCAACATTCAAAGCCAGTGTCAGAATATTTCAACCTCTCAGGACACTCTTTCAGCAGAGTTAAGCAACATTATCATAAAAGGGGAAGCAAATGACTAAATATTTATTTTGTTGTTATATTTTTATGAGATTGTCTGCTTCTTGGGCCAAAAACAATTTAGTTGACTTCAAATATTATGGGTGATGGGCATCATTTGGTTCTCTATCTCAATCAGCAATATGTCTTGGGCCATCCCTGTCTGTCACCAACCTCAGAGTAGCCATTACAGCTATTATAGAAATAAGGAATTGCAAATGAAGAATTGAGAGGGGACAGCTGAAGTGCACCATATCAATAAATTCCAGCTTATGCATCTAGAAACTTAAACAGAGATTGGAATTTCACCTATATACACACAGAGGTATGTACACACACATATATTAACAAACTGGTTTTCTCTACAAGTCTTGTATATGGTCAAAAAGTTGTGTGGTTTTTGTTTTGTTTGTTTTTTTTGACAAAACTGACCAAAGTTTTGGGTGGGGTTGCACTGCTACTCCCTAAAAATGGGATTAGGACTGGAGTGAGGATTTACTTGGACTGTTATTCATTTTTCTTTCCTGGAGAGGTCATATCTAGCTCTGTTCGTTCAAGCTTTAGTCACATCCAGATTAGCTGCCTGTGATGACCTCCACATGGGTATGGCCACTGAAAATGGAAAGCTTCAGTTAGCTCCAAACTGCATCCAACAGGGACTTTTAGGTTGGAGCACAACCAGACTGATAGCACCTAATCTTCACCAGATCCGAACCAGGTTAAGTTCAAAACGCTTAAATACATTTATGCCCTCTGGTTTAATTGCCGCATTCTGTACCTTGTCCTCATGGTTTTTGTTTTGTGATTAACTTCTGAAATATAAACAGATTCCTGGTCCACAGTATCTTGACAAAAGCCTCTTCCAGCATGACCCAACATGAGCATTCAGGACAACTTCTGAGACCCAGTAATGTGTACTGAACTATGAACCATATTCTTTTAGCCGGCTTGATTCTATTGCACAAATTAAAGATGTAAATGTCTTTAAATAAAAAAAAAAATACTTGTTTCGCTTTTTTTCTCCTGCCCATCCCTAAACAGGAGAAGAAAAACAGGACAGAAGTCCCTCCTTCAGGACTGCAGGCTGCACACAAGGCAAACATTCCATTCCCGACTCTCACTGGGAGCATTCCACCTCCTAAAGACATTCTGCCTCAACTGGGTTAATGAGAACAGAACAGCTAGTTTTTGAATGGAAGTAATGGGTACAGGGGGTATATTTGGGGAGTACTCTCAGGAGGGGGTATCTTAAGTAACACTTCCAGTGTTCTTTTTAAAGAGTTGTGTGCAATGGCTTTCACACAGTGTCTGTTTTGCAGGAGGTCAGTAACATTCTCTTCAGCTGAAAATATTGAAGAAGGGCCATATCTGGCCTCCAGCACACCTTGTTATGTAACTTCCCCTTCAAATGTCAGCTGGAATTGAATCAAAATCCAAAGGACTTTGGCTGAATACGAGTTAGCTGGCATTTGCTGTCCACTACAATGAGGGCACCAGCTTCCACTTTAAAATTAGTGAGAAGATTACTGTCACTGTCACTGTCCACTATTCATTGTTTTAACTCAGCATGCACTAGTTTCCCCTTGCTCCCCACAGCCATTAGCTACCTTGAGTGTTAGAAATATCATTTTGGAAAAACACCTCACTCTGTACTGCTTGATTTTACAAGGCAGTGCAATAAAGTGTATCGCTTTTTGCCTCATTAATATTCATTACCAAGAATACCCTGCAATAAATAAAACTAATATCTATTTACTGCAGAGGACTCAAGGCCATGCATACTAATAAAATTATTTCCCAGTATTTTACCCATTGCAGAAAAATAAATTGGTTTTTATGGCATTGTTAGCATGCGTTCCACGCAAGCACCCGTCTACCAGGCACGCCTTGCAGCAAATACTTATGTGTCTCAAACATGTTCTGCAGCACAAAGTCCATGTTCTTAAAATGAACAAGTGTGAAACTTGAAAAGCACAGCATATGAGGCAGCCTTAAATCTATCTTGGTTACTGCCTTCAGTCTAGTTGGGCTCCAAGACCCATGTCTGAGACAGTATGAACATCTGTCACTGTTCCATTGGCCTTCATAGTTTGGGTTACATTTTTAACCCTTCTTTCAAGAGCACTAAGAAAAAAAGATCTCCATTTTTCATCAGCCTCCCACACTAATGCCCACACTGGTCTTAAAATCTTATTTTTCAAGTGATTTGGCATACATGTCACACTCTTAAGACACCTTCCTCCTTGAACTAAGAATTCTGGGCTGCCATTTACCTGGCACCCAATTTGGACTGTGTGGGGTAGGGAGAAGAGAAGAGGCCAGAGCAGCCGGCAGCTTAACAGGCGGCTGTTTCCTGGCTGTTGGTGACACAAAACTGGGTGAGAGACTTCTGTGGTACACACCAGGCAATCAGAAGCCAAACTGCCTCCAGAGGTCTAGAGCCAAGGCTGGGTGTCATCAGCTTACATAAAAGCCAGTCCACTGTGCTGCCCTGATATATGCTCTGTCAGTTGACTATCTGTGTAACACCAGCATGCCTGTAAAGTCTGCCTAGCGGCTTGTATGGCAAGCACTGGGAGGGAATTTTACTTAGAGGGCACAACTGGTCTAACCTATAGGGCTTTTGCCTTCGTCATAGCAATTATATTTAGCCTCCTTTAAATAAAATGTTTCATGCCAGCTTCCAAGAGAGGCCCTGGAAACACTGGGTGCAATCAGTTTGTGAGCATAGTAAGCTGTCGACTTTCCATATGGGACTTTTAGGAGCAGGGTCTATGAATTATGGCTTGATTCAGTTGGACCTCACTCTCAAATGATAGGACAGACTCACACACTAGTTATATACCCAGGTGAGTCCCATATAAGTTTGAAGGCTAAGCCTTCAAAACTTTAGCTTGTGGGTTGTCTTACTTTTGTCTCGCTTGTACTTCTGCAAAAATTATCAGCAAGCCTTTCATTTGGTCCAATCTCGAGGCATACTGTATATCTTGTAAACTCTGAGATGTTTGTCACCAGCAAACTGATTTCAAGCCACCCAGCTCCAGTACACAAACAGTGACTAATACTCACAGTCACTTTACTTCTCTTTTCTGTAGCTCTTAGACAGTGGGGAGTGTGTTCTGGGACATCATCCAACAATTTATTGTAACAGAAGGAATGTAAAGACCACCCAGTGTCAAATGCAGTCAACATTGGCACCAAATCAGAACAGTTATCAAACAAAAACATGCTTTGGTATTGCAGTTGAGTTCTTTGCCACAAAGTAAACATCAGAAAGTATTCCTAGAATAAGATTTGCCTCCATTTACAGAGGTGGGCAGAAAATGAAGCCAACAGGAAGAACAATATCAAAGCCAAACAAACTTTGTCTTTATAGTAGAAGGCAAAGTTTAATTTCACATATCACAGGACACCATATTTTATGCTATCACATGAACAAGCCCTATGCTCATATGCACTTCTCTTTTTCTTTGGTTAGTTACTGCCGCTTCTGCAGAATCCTGGGTAATATTAAGTGCATTTTGGTGTAAGAGAGCTCTCCAAATCAGGACTGCAACCAATGAAGTGGACAAGTACTGAGTTAGTAAAACCACCATCTGGCACCGTGTATGAACTGATCCACAGAGTGTATCAGCTCAGCATTCTGCATTACACAGAGAAGGAACACATCCCTGTTTGTGAAGTTAGGCACAACTAGGTGAGAAGAATGCATATATTAAGAACAGTATCACAGGGCTGGTTCAAATTGACCCCTTCTTTCCCATTATAAAATCTCATCAAAATGAAATAAATCTGGACATTTCTAAAAAGGAGCGGGGTAATGCTATCTCTGAACCACAAGACTCTGATAAAAGTTACTGTTGGGAATGTGGATTTATTCCAGAATTTTACACAAGTGCAAATTACTTACAGTGTAGAGTTCATTGGTAACCTTTAGGAGTTCTTCGTGCATCTGAAGACCAATCTCCTTACTCTGGAATACAAAATAAAAACAGAAAAGGGAAAAATAAATTTCTGCTAAGTTCCTGAGATTTGTTGTGAAGGAAAGAACTCAATTGATAAGAACACAGACTTTAAAACTGAGCTAATGTGACACTGTGTGTAAACAACTGTTAGATTCGATCCCATAAATTGTTCTAACTGCCTCATACAACACTGTGCATGCTCTTTGTAAAGAGTCTGGTATTAGAAACATTTTACTAATATTTTTTTAATGGCAGCTTCACATTGTTGGCTTAGAAAGTTTTAAATGCAACAACAGATAGAAAGATCAGATGCATTTCAGCCATTAGAACAATCAAGCACCAGCTATGGGATAGAGGATAAGATAAACTCAGGATACAGATCATTCGGTCATGACTAGAACAGAGGTGGGAAATAGTAAACCAGATGTTGTTGGACTACATTTACTGTGATTCCTGACCATAGGCTATGCTAACTAGGACGGATAGTATTTGCATTCCAACAAGATCTGTAAGAACACATATTCCCCTAACCTGGAAGTCGAGATGCAAAAATGATATATTTATGGTGTGCAATTGATATGCTTGTTCAACTTCCATTTCCAGGTGTTCCTGCAACAGAATTCTGTTAAAGCCACTAAAAACCCTAGTAGAGTCAGCATAATTTGTGTGCAACTTTGTGGCACATAACATATACCATCACTATGCAACTGCATTTTTCACACAGCTTTCATGCTTTCTAAATCTGTTTACACTGTTCTCAGTTTGTAACAGTGATGGTAGATCTGGAAACAGAATTAGTTTCTGGTAATAGCATGTTTATATTTTTAGAAGTCATTCTCTTCCCTGGACCATCTCCACATTGCCATATGGTTTTAAAATCTTAGCTCTATTCTAGAATGTTACGGCTTTTAAAAAACAACAACTAAAACAGTATGTATGTTTTAATCATGAATAGAACTTTTTGGAAATTGCCTTTGGGTACAGAAATGCTTTGACAGGGTGTTATTTATAATATACCAACATAGCCTTTCTGTACATTTTCTTTCAAAAACTGAAATAGCACCATACAAAAGAAGACGCCAATCAACATTCTAATTCTGCCTTTCTCGTTTAAAAAATAAAATACACAAACTACTGCTCTTCTGTGTTTTGAAACTGACAGTTAATGAACAAACACCTACATGTAGTTCTATCCAATTAGTCCCAAACATTGACACAATGGGGATGATCCCCCACAAGCCCTCCGCTATCAGAATCTGTCAATGGGATTTGGAAGACATTTTGGAACAGACAGATTCGTGAGTGTGGAAATCTGTGGGGAGAAAAAAGTACATGTACAAATTTCACCAGGAAAGCAGAAATTTGCTTACATGCCTTTGGATTCTATCCATTGTCCTCCTAAACTGCAGATGAGTTAGTAATTCTAAATCCAGATTATGCCACATCAGACTCAAATTGAAGCTTTGTATTTCTCCTTACCCATTATCAGTTTTATTTAAATATTCCTGTATACTCACCAACAATTGTGACTTAAGTACATATACATGTGAAATGTTGAACACAGTGGTGCCTCGCTTAACGTCGTTAATTTGTTCCACCAAAATCGCTGTAGAGTGAAAACGTCATAAAGCGAAATAAAAAAGTCCATTGAAACGCACTGAAAACCCCTCAATGTGTTCCAATGGGCTGAAAACTCACCGCCATTTTCGCTGCCTGTAAAACGAGGAATCCATCTAAAAACACAGCGGGGAGTCATTTTAAGCAGCCGGCGGCCATTTTGAAACCCGACGATCAGCTGTTTGCTGATCCTTGTAAAGCGAAAATTGGTTCCCGAAGCAAGGAACCGATCATCATTAAACCAAAAAAAAACATTTAAAACATCATTTTGCAATCGCAAAACCTAATCGTACAACGATTTCGTCGTAGAGTGGGGCAATCATTAAGCGAGGCACCACTGTACACTCCCAAAATACTTTTCCTCCCAAAGTTTAAATAGTGAAAAACATTTCTATGTTTCAAGAGATCCATCCTGACCTGTGGTTGTATAGGAAAAAGGGAAATGTGTTCTGGGCAGGCTCATTTGCCAGCCTCTAGCCTCAAACGCAGCACTGAGAAAATTCTAGGGTCAAGTCTTGGATTAAATTAAGACCCAGTGAAGTGGCTCTCAATAAGGTACAGCCAATGGTTTTACAGCTGTGCATTCCTGTGGCCTCTAATTAAGCTAGGTATTAACATCGGAAAATGCTTAGTTCACAACTAATGTTTAACAGTTTGCAAAATATCATCAAGGCTGGTGCATGAAGAGGGGAAACTAAACCACAGGAACAACTCACTCCTTGTTTGCCATGAGAGGTACAAATCCAGGCAATGGAAGAAGCTGAACATTTAAATGTCATTCAGCAAACAGGCAGATGTGGACAAATGTATTCCCTCAGGTAACTTGGTTTCAAGTTGTTAAGAACTTCACATGTTAACAACATCACCTTCAACTGGACCTCACAATGAGGAAGTAAAATATACCGTCCTTCACTTGGCAACATAACAACCAGATTCTGATAGGACTTGCAACTTCAATGCGTTTCAAATCTAATTCTGAGGCTACCAATTTACAGATCACAGTTGGCCAGATTATCCCAGTTCAGATATGTTTAAAACTGATGTACCAGCCAAAGCTAGTACAAGATTCTTCTTCTCATTAGAGATACCCAGACCTCCATTAACAGAGCATGTCCGGAGAATCCCAGGTACACATCGTGAAAATACAAGCCCACCCAAAATGAACACACTCCCCTGTCCCTATACTTTAAAACCACTGAGTTGTTATGTTTCATTGCACCTGCTGGGGTAAATTAAAGAGTAAGATAGGCTATGGAGAGGTCACTTATGCCTTTGAGTGAGCATACCTGTCCTCTAAGAGTATGGTTGGTTTTACCACAACTGGAAGTGACCTCTAGAGCACAGAGAGAAAAGAGGGAGCAAGTTTGCCTTTCTTTCACTTACTAGTAGGAACAGAGGAAATTGAGCTAAAATAAAAGATGGACTTGCTACTACTGTACCTGAAATCACACTGCTGAAATAGTTTTGCTCTAAAATCATACCTGATTTAGCATCCCCTTTTCATTCAAAGCTGAAGAGCCACCTGCTGGAGATTTGTTTCCGATTCACACCCTGGTTGCTGCATCTTTCCTGGTTCACCTACGAAAACCCTTCCTCACTCTAGTTCAGTGCTCCCAAGCCTTGGAACCCCAATGTTCTTAGATTAAAACACCCAGAAGCCTTCACCACTGACTAAACTGGGAGCTGTAGCCCAAGAACATCTAGAGATCCAAACCACTGCCTCGCTCAATTTTGGGATAAAATGTCTTTTGTGCTCTGTGTTAAGGGAACTTTAGTAAAAACTGAATAATAGCATACCTCTAGATCAGTGGTCCCAAGCCTGGAGTCCCCAGATTGGGCTGCAGTTCCCAGAAATCCTGGCTATCACAACTAGTGGTGAAGGTTGGGAGTTTTAGTCCAAGAACATCTGGGGACCCAAGGTTGGGAACCACTGCTTTAGACCCTGAACCTAGACCTGGGTGAAAATTGAAGGGTTGCACTTGCATGTTGCCAGTATTCTATCTCAGTTTACTAAATGCACAGGCACACACATATCCTTCACTGTACACAAACATAGCATAATCATATCACACAACATGAATGCTTCTGTCTAATCTGTGTGATTGGGTTTCATTTCAATTTAATAAATTTCTTAACTCTTTGTAAGATCTGACCTGTAGTATCTAGTGAGAAAGGCAAAGAATACTGAACCCTATTCAATATATCCCACAATGTCCATATTTACAACTGCACAATACTGTTAGCTATAAATAACAGCTTAGTGTATGTTTAATGGCTGTTAAAGAACATGCATTTGTGATTACTTTAAAGCACCTCTAAGTTTAGCCTCATGGCAAAATTTATTACTAGAAGGTGAGCTGATATATAAGACTTTAACCTTATATGGAGCAAGAAATGCCTGATTTTCAAGCAGACTTTTGAAAAGGAAGAGGCACTTGAGATCATATTGCAAATATCTATGGCTATTGGAATGCCCAAAGAATATCAGTGGAAGACCACTGATATAGCAAATTCTTTGACTGTATGGATCATGACAAACTATGGGTTGTTCTGAAAGAAATTGATGTGCCCCACACTTATTTATTTATATTATGGACAAGAAACTACTTTTAGGATAGAATATGGAGAGAGTGAACCATTTCATAAAGGCAAAGATGTCAGACAAGGGTGCATTTTATATTCAGTCTGTACACAGAACATATCATATGGAAAGCCAGGCCAGATGCAGATGGAGGAGTGAAAATTGGCAGAAGAAACATCAATAATTAAAATATGCAGATGACCCCATCTTACAAGCAGAAAGAAGCAATGACTTGAAATGACTTTCAGTGAAAGTGAAAGAAATTGTTACTATGTGTTGTTATAGCTGACAGAGAACAGATAACTTGTGACAAAGATAACAAAATAGGCTTTTGCAACAATAATTAAAAAGTGCTCATATCTCCACAGATCTTTGTTACATTACTTCCTCAATTGACAAAAGCCAACAAAAAATGCTTTGCTCCTAGGCCTGACACCATTATGAGAATCTATTTTGTTCACATAATTATATAAAAAACTTTCTCATAATTTTCTTGTGTGGATAATTCTTATAATTCTGATAAAAATCAATTATATTTGTAGATGCAAGGGCAAAATAAGAGCCAGTTTTCTATTTTATTTTTGTTCAGACACCTGGATTGCATTTCAGCAGAGCTACTCAAGATGCCACCTTTAATTATGTACAGAATAACATAAAAACCACAAATCTGTTTGCCAGTGATGAGTACCTCTCCTCAACCAAGTGAGTGCCCTTGTCTTAAACACCCATCAATAGGATCCCACATAAACACCTATGTACATACTGCGTGTATACATGCATTTGCATACAATGATGAGCCGGAATCAATTC